CAAAGCATATATTTCTGCTTCGACAGTTGAGATCTATAGTAAGTTTTAAGATCCTCTTGACAGCATATTACGCATTTTTCAATTCGCATCTTAGGTATGGTATTGTTTTGTGGGGAAACTCCTCATCTTCAGATAGAGTTTTCAAGCTTCAAAAAAAAGCAGTTAGAATAATTGCCAATGCAGATTATATAGACACATGTCGTCCTATATTCAAAAATTTAGGAATAATGCCCCTTCCTACCTTATATATTTACCTTACCATTGCCTTCTTGAAATCCATGAAAATGAAAATGAATTCGATAGAAATGCTCATTTCCATGATTACAGCACTCGCAATGCTGAACTCATCAGATCCTCAAGATATAGACTACATAAATCTGCATCTAACTCTCCGAGCACGAAATTGTATAACATCTTACCACAAACAGTGAAAAATCTTACAGGTCAAAAATTCAAACGATACATTAAAAATGAACTTTTAGCCAAATGTTACTATAATGATATTGAGTATATAACTAGCCCACCTGCTGCAATTGATCTTAATGTAAAATGAACCGTATTATTTGTGTCTTGGTCCTATTTTACATCTATATGTTATTGTATTTTATATCTATATATTAGTGTTTTGATGTCTTTTTATATAACAATTCATTTACAAATTATTTCTTTTATTAGATTCATACATTATTGTATTGTATTGATGTATTGACTTGCTACAAATGTATGTATTTGCATAACGTAGTCAAATAAACGCTATCTATCTATCTATATCGATAACTATCGATATATCTATAAATATCGATATATCGATTAATCGATATATCGGACTTATTGATATTTATATCGATATATCGGACTTATCGATATTTATCGATATATCGATATATGTAGTTCAAAAAATATCTTGCAATCATATGGACTTATTGACATATACCCACTCGTTAGAAACGTAATGCGAATAGTATGCGGTTTGTTTTTGCTGAATCTCAGTAATTTGAAGTTCGGCCACTTCGAATTATTTAGAAGAAAACATAATGAATTGTTTGATACTCAAATCAATTCAAAATTTTGAGATAGAGGATAAGGATCAAAAACACTTTTCATTATACGATCCCTGTCTCAGTGAAGTTGGCCCAAACTAGAGTTCCTGAATGTATATCTGACTCAGATACATTGGGGAACTCACGCCTAAGGGCTGCGCGATATTGGATTTCAGTTATCGGCTATCGATAAGTTGAAATTTATCGATAAGTTCGATATATCGATATATCGATATTTATTATATAATATTAACTGAAAACTCAATGGGGAAGGATCATGAAAAGGTCAAAAATTATTATCCTGCTGATGAAATAAGCCTTGACAGTTTATCAGGGGTGCACTAATTCAAGATATTTCTTGACAACAAAATGTATTTTATTTGGAAAAGTGTTTCTCACAATTCATCTAGATCGTCGCCTAATTTAGATCAACCACGTTATCAACCATACTTACACCTACTTGATTATCCTTTACCTATCTACTTCATAAACAATATAACGTCTTATATTATTCTTTATTGTTTCTTATTTGATCAAGAAGGTATAAATCAGCATTATCTCAAGTCTTCCAATCAATAAGTATTCATTTTATCATGTATGTGTCTTATCTAATAAGTTGTGTAGCACCAATTGTATGATAGTAAGTATACTGAGTGATTTTCCGGGATCAATTACCCGGTATGTTTCTACTTCAATTGTCCCTTTTTGTTACTTTGAAAAATAAACAGTGATTTTACCGGAGTTATACTTGATTCATTTTGGGTCACCACCCATTCAAACTTCCACAAATACAGCAAATACTACAAATAGCCAGTTCATACCGACTAAAACAAGCAAATGCCAGCCATGGCCAACCTTTCCATTCCTTGTTATTACATCGTTTTCTTTTAATATACAAAAGCCAAACAAGGCCGGAAACAGGTCATTATATATATCATCCGCACCCTTAAAGGCGTCAGGAACCGCAGGGACGTCACAGCCACGTGCCCAGAAGGAACGGGCAGTTGAAACTAGACAAGAACAGTGGCTTTTAGAATTTTTTCTGATATAGAGATCACATTTTTAATTGAAGTCGAAAAATAGTAAGTATATTATTTAACGAGCACAGAGTGATAGTCATTCCGTGCGAGATATACGACACTATACTTTTTTTACGGCTGTAACAGATAACAGCGACATTTTTTATTTTTGCGGCTTTTGTAGCCATCTGAGTAATGCTTATTTATTTGAAAGAGCTAAGAGCTGCCATTTCTTGAAATTTGACATATTTCATATGATGATATGATTTATTGAACACAGAAAAACAAGAGTAATTTTGTGTTATAGCTGTAAAAAAATACCATTTTCTTATTGGGAAAATTGTACCAAAAGAAATAATAACACGTTATACACGGTGTTTACGAAATTGGAGCGATAAATGAAGAATATCAGACAAAAACAAAACGAAATAAAAGAATACATTTTTCTCGAATTATTGATCAGAAGTAGCCAAACACATATGTACAATGTTTCGGCGTGGTCCAATGTTGCCGGACGTCCAATAATAGTTGAAAGATGTGGTATAGCAGGTGAGTACGCCCGCTATGAATAAAAGTGGTTCTATGTGTCATCATTTCTATCACAATGTACAGTTGTATTCAATAAAAAAGCGTACAAGTATTAAACATAGAAGATTTCGGCATCCTAGTACTAGTTGTGTGATACTGGCTCAGCCAATGCCACAGATTAACAAACCTTGTTAATCTGTGCCAATGCTTTGTGTTTTTGAGAACCTATGATTACTCTGCTATCAATATTTGGTAAATATTCATTTCCGATAGCCCGTTTTACGTAAATAGAATGACGTTAATTTCTCTCTCAAATATACTTGTACGCTTTTTTTTTGAATACGACTGTATGTCCATCCGATTTAATATATCTTTCCAATTTCGAGACAAGACTAAATCTTCAGAAAGTTACTTTGATCAAAACGTAATTTATGAAATTCTCGTAAAAAATAAAACTGATTGATCTTAAGTATTGAGTATCATAACTTATATTTTCATTTATAGTGACAAAGAGGGAAAATTCCTAGTTTTCAAGATTCATGTTTAGAAATCATGAAATCCACAGTCAATCACCCTAAAAAGGTTCAATTCAATGTACCTAATACTCCGCGAATGAAATTCTTCTTATATAGAAAATTGATTTCAATTTCGACTGCTTATCAGAGGTACCCTTCCAAGTGACTACAAAATGTTTTCAATATCAGATGAGAGCGCCAACTATATAGAAATAGCTTTAAATCTCTAGTTCTATGAATACTCCCTAATGTAACGAGGGTGGGAAAATGGTATTTTCAGAATATTTAATGACACATCCATTAGGTTGATTACCTTTTCTGACAATATATATTCATATACCTACTGCATAAAAAAAATGCGTTAACTCCCTATGGTATGATATAGATATAGATCTGTGAAAATAAATGTTCAATATACAGGCGGTAGTCAAGAGTAATGGTTTGAGATGAGAAATAGTTTTCTCAAGGTGACGAGGTTTGCAGAGTTAGCTACAGGAAAAATATATTATGTATCTCTCACTCACATATACGGGCTATCATTGAAGTAAATACAAATATTCCAAACCCTAAGGAAGCTCGACCAATACTATGGAATGGCACCAATAAAAAATATACAGGGATGTAAATACTGGGGTGAGACCGCTTTTTCTACCCAAAGTTCTACACTGTCGCAATTCGATCTGACGTCACCTCTGTTCAAATTTACGTATGGCACAATCTCGCAACCATTTAAATTTGTTTTGAAGTGGCGTACCTGATTTTGTTTCCGATTTTTATTCAATTTTTGGATTGAAATTCATTGTAAATTGAAAAAATTAGAAAATCATCTTATATTTCGGAAATATTCGTCAGACTGTATCATATCGATATGCTGAATAGGCATATGCACTTATTTCAAAAACACCTCGTATTAGAACGAAACATCGAAATCTTCAAATAATGCCGCTGATTAGTTTGTTATATTCAACACCGACCATAAATAATTTTTTCCATTACAACACCAACCGAAGCATATCAATAATTGTTTTTTAATTATGGAATAATTTGTTATTTAGCCTCCATGGATTCCCAACAAGATCGGATAGAAAATGACGAAGTTTTTAATAAGACATTCTGAAAAAAAAAAAGAAATCATCCAAGCAGATTGTTCTCGACAAATGGAACACTTTCCGCAGTAGCTTTTGATAACACGATTTGTAATTGTGCAGGAAATTTGAGATGTATAACCTTGAAGATTTTGAAATTCGAATTACAGTCGATGTGATTATTTTGTAGCAGTTCTGAACGAACGTCAAAATTTGACAACGCGCTTTGTTTGTATGTGACAATATGAATTGGTTACTATGGAAATGGAAATAATTCTAAATTTCTGTTCTATTATTCCGAAAGAATCCCAACATTCACATGTATCACTTTTTCTTATTTTTCTTCTCTTTAGGTTTGTTGGATTTCTGTCTCCTTTCGGTCCTTTCAGATCAAATAATTGAATTTTTCAAGAATTATACTTGATTATATAATCAAATTGTCGACCACTAAGACACCGATTGTCTATTACCATGACCGGTAGCCGAGTCTATCAATGTTCATATGATTTGATCGTATGTACTCTGCTTCTTATCCAACAAATCCGTTGTTATGCGGCCTGGACACCGGCGTAGAGATAGTTGAGTACGTTTGACTTCAAGTGTGACCCCTTATCCGATGAATTCGTCATCATCCGGCCTGGTTACCGGCGTAGCGGCGTAGAGATAAAGGGGCCTGATTTTTTTTAAACACACTTATCAAACGTCACATTAGGTATAGGATTTTTATTCAGATCAGCTAATTTCAAAGAAAAAATTTGACTTCTGATCACTACCACGATCAGAAGGCGAGACCGGCTCATTTTTTATACTCACGTGTAACGTTGAGCAGTTGCACGGCGATGATAGGACTCAGGTAATTTTCCACGTTCCTGTAAGGATAATAATAGCCAGCGAATCCTCTGGGATAGTAGTTGAATCCTTTGACATTTTCTTTGTCCACGTCATCAACTCCATTACACGTCACCCAGATTTGCTTCTTTGATTCCTCCGATTTTGTCTGAAAAACATCATTTATACAGGATGTTCCGTCATGTGATTGCTGGTCGCTACATAGTTATGTACGGGTGGTAACTCAGTTTCTAAGTCGTTTTAAATAATTCAGGATTTTATAAGAATAATTTCAAATTACTCTCAAGAATTTTATTCACGAATAAAAATGTGTTGAGTAGGTATTAGCTGTTTTGAACTTGTTTCTATAAAATGAAAATATGAGTAGGTATTATTTCAATTTTCGTGTAGTGAGGACAAATCAGATGATTGTCTCCAAAATGTCCTTGCGTTTGAAATATTCATCTGCTTGTCAGTGAAGATAGTTTGTGTGAAACATATTTTCCATTCTTTATGATGAAAACGGGAGCAGATTCGTTCCCGAAAACTCCAAAGATAAGTGAAAATTTGATTTTTTCTATATACTTGTATTCCTTTTCTCGAAACCAGTCAGTGTCACTGACAATCGAATGCATTTTTCTTTTAGGCTCTCAGATAAAAACATTTTTAAACGCACTGACATTCTGGGACAAATCATCTAATTTCTCCTTATTACACGTTTATATAAATGATACGCATATTTTTAATTTATAGAAGCGAGGAGAGAAAATCCAAAACATTTTTTCATTTTGAAATACTATTAGTCCACTTGCCGAAAATAATAAAAACACTTACACTATTCAAGTGAGCCACTAAATCTTCAGGCATGCCCTCTACCGGTTCAGTATAAAATTCAGGGGTCCATCCAAAAATCTGAAAAAAAAAAATAAACAAAATAATAATTCGCTGCAGAATTCCGATGGTGAAAACGCACCTTATTCAACTTGAGGAATATACATGGCGATGATGAGTTGTAACCGTATTTCCTTTCTGGGGAACAGTTTTTGAGCGATTCCACAGTGGTCATGCAAACTTTCCCTTCCTGTGGAGGCTTATCAAAATTACAAGGCACGTAGTTTTTACCGGTCTGATTGGCTTTGTACGCTGAAATATGTAAAATATTGAATATAAGCAAGTCGAAAAAATATTCAGTTATTATACAAGGGAAAAAAGTATTAGGTTTTAGCGAGGGTTTTAGCTCGAGACGCGTAACGGAGGGATACAAAAAACCGAGAGCTAAAATCTAATATGTTCCCGTGTATACACTATTTGTTTCTGTGATAAGGGGAACTCCGATTCATTATTGAGAACATAATTAAATCAGAAAATTATCAATGTGAAATTTGGAGTTTTTAACTAGTAGTATACACGTTTTTGCATGCATCTTTTTGTAGGTATCTGACTATCTGTATTGTTGCTATGGAGTAAGAAGTAATTGAATATGTGTTTATTCAATACTGTGTGTTATGATTTTAAAAAATTGCGAACTCAGTGGTTGTTTAGTAATTTACATATTTACGTAAGTGCGAAGTGGAATAGGAGATAAAAAGGACCTATTTCCCGTGTAAAAATTGTAATTTATGGAAAGTAACATTTTGTAACCTGTCAACAGGAATAAAATGTCAATTTTTTTTGCCGTCACAACTCTGTTCGAAGGAGTCTCCTCCTTCGTGGCGCGGGGGTGACTAGAATTTCAATTTCCTATAGGCAAAAAAAAATCTAATTATGATTCACTCGAAAAAAATGTGTAATTCGGTAAGACGATTTAATGAATACGTGAATCACATTATTGTTGATGATTTTTGCGATTTTTCTGACAAAGCAAGTTTGAGAAGAAACACAATGTAGAGGTATAGAGAATAATGCATGAGAAATAAGAAATGCTGATCTGCTATTGGTCAATTCTAACCTTGAACGCGTTTTGAACTACTCATAATGCTATTCCCCCCTATTCCTATTTCTTATTCTTTTGCATTGTGTTCGGACGACACCATGAAATATTTGGTTCATGCTTTCAAATGTTAATTTCCGTTTTGTCGCTGAAAAAAGGCACACTCTTTTCGCTGTCATAATGATAAATTCACAGCGGCTTACGAGATTTTATACATACATAAATTAAATTGTCAAAATAAAAAACTAACTTGCACGCTGCAGTTTTGGCATTTTTCAGTTTTTAGGAAAGAATAGATTAGATTCTAGTTAGGTACGCGTTGAATGAAATAAGATTTATTTTGTGAATTTTGTTAATTTGTATTGAAACACAGATTTTTCTTCTATCGTCTGGGGGAGGGGGGGGGGTAATTACCCCCATTATTTCAGCGTAAAAGTGTAAAACTTGTAAAAGGACCTCCTACTAAACTTGAGAAAGAAAGGCTCTCGCTGAGAAAATCGTTGAATATTTGGTAAATTTTAGATGATGATGAACTGATTGAAATAAGTTCAAAAAATATAGAAACAAAGATTCAGCTATTTCATCCCGCTTCGAGTATTTGGCTTTTTTCTAGTTGAAAAACGTTTCTTTCCATCTACTCAGGAGGCGTTCGTGTTTATCTCGCAGATGCCAAACGCCTCGTGGATATTTAAGTGCTGGGATGTGTTCAAGTTGGGTCAGGTTCAGAGTGTTTGCACCAGATAGCGGTCAAGAAGCCATCTGGAGACACCTCTGCACTGAGAGAGCCCAAAGCTCGAAACCGGTCTGTAGGTAGTCTAGCGTTCTTCAACAATTTGGGCACAGCTCAGCATTCAGGGAAGACTTGCAGCTGTATTCGTCTTCACGAGTCATTGCATAGATATCGAGAGAATGTTATTCAATATTCTGCGTGGCATATTGCCAGGAATAAAGTGGAGTGACGACAATAGTTGTACACTTTTTGATTGGTGAGACCTTCAATATGGAGGTGCATCCACCTGTCTTCTTTTCTCCATTCAATTCTACGCATTTTATTTCACTTTGTCCATGCTTTGTCTTTGTTTTTTGCTCTTTGGACACAAAACATCCAACAATCAGACATGAAACTCTATACTATAATATTTGGGACTCGTAATTCTTGTATTATTTAGATGATGAAATGAAAATATCAAATATCTAAACCTGACATCAGGTGGGCACTTCGAAGGCGCAAATTCATTAATGCATGGGAGATAACCTTCAGATTTTCAGCTATTTGGTGACTTGACATTCCGGAAATGGCAGTTATTTGGATGTCCATTGTCGTCGCTCTATTTATAGTCACTCTAGCCAGGAAGTAGTTGTTTTTCTCTAGTTATCTATTTTATTTTTTCATTTTATGAACTTCATTGTGGTAATGACTGGGTGAAAAAAGTGTTATAATGTTTTGCACTGTGGCACTTACGAGCCAAAAATGTGTCGGCCAGCTTCACCCACTTGTCCACCGTGGTGGCATTGGTGATGTTGTACCAGACCAGCGAGCCCTCCTCCGTCTTGGGCGATATGGGCCTGAAACCCAGCCCGGGGTTGTCGCCAATAAGGCCGTGTGTCATCTGCCATCGCGGCTCACGTTCGTCCAGCGTGGCGAACAGGCCCTGCATGCATATGGCGAACAGGGCGGCCAGCACGGCGTAGAAGATGGCGTAGAAGAGCAGCAGTTGGCCTGGAATTGAGAAACAGATGAGAATGATGAGATCACTTTTTTTTCTATTTTTCCTTAACCATTGAAAGATGAAACCATATACATATATATGCATTCAAGGGCGTCGCCAGCGGAAAAAATAGGGGGGGGGGGCACCATAAAAAAACTGAAGAGAAAAATCAAATAGAAAAGAGTTCAATGAGAAAATTAAAAAACAGAAAAAAATCTATACAGTGAATCAGTTGAAAAATAATCTTCTAGGGTTCTTTTGGAATTCGTTGGTCACTTTTTGACGAAATCGTTCAAGTTTTTGAAAATATGTTGCCTGTTTATACTCATCATTGCGAGGCCATTGAGTCGAGCATCATACATGGTGCTCCTCAACCAGGTTTTGATTCTCCTAAGGCTACTAAATGACCTTTCAACTGTACAAATCTTACAAGGTAAAGGCAACAAGGATCTTCAGAGCCTTCTCAACTTCAGGAGAAAAATATACTTTCAGAAGTTCTTTGCTCAAAGTGAGCGTTATCATAAGTAATATCACGATATTCTTAATATTCGAGATAATTCTGTCGCCTCATTGTTAACGAAATTGTGTTGCTGAGCAACACCACGAGTCAGGACGAAAGGTAGGGCTGTACGGCAACACAATAGATTTGACAAGGAAATGAAGAATTATGAGAATATATTCAGAACAGAGTGGAGACTATTTCACGTTCACGAAGCAAAGAAGCATTTATTTTGAATGAATGATTCATTCTGACAAGTAGTCATTATTTTTTGCCAAATTGACAGACTTCGCTTCGCTACCCATGGTTACATCGTTGAAAACATCTAGTTTTCGCGATAAGCACACGTTTTCTCTGGCTTGTGATTGGTCAGATTATGTGATGAATTAAATAGTCGTTTCAATGATAGCAGGGTGACTGGTGAGCGTTAAACGTAGGGGGGAGCAGCTGCCCCACCCTGCCCCTCTCTGGCGACGCCCTTGTATGCATTGCATTCAATTTTTTTTGAGATATTGCGAAAAAACTATTCCAATTTCTCAACTTCAACGCCCTGTATCTCGAGAACTGAACACTTGGAGACTGTTTGTCCCTATCTCAGTGATTATGAAATCACGAGAGCTATCACCTGTCAAGCGTTGTCGGTCGAATTTCGCAACTCCCTGTATACATTTCAGAGAGTGTATTAAATTGTATGTCTCTTGTTTTCATAAATAATAATATGTAACACATTTTTGGACAATATCCAAGCATTTTCATTATTTCCTTATGGAGTTCAGAGATGTACCGAGATATGGTATTGTCCGTTTTTCTCGAAAACGAAGCAAGATACCAAAAAATAGCAAGAGACAGAAATGTATTTTCAGTGGGATTATCTGGATACTCAAGAAGAACCCAAAAAAAATTGACTTGTATTTGTAAAAAAAGCCGACTTGCTCGAGGGGAAAGCCCCTGGAAATGAGTCCAGTAACTGTCTGATCACTTTGTGAATACATCATAAGAATTTCAGCGTTCTCAACATATCCTCTTTTTTTCACTTAGAAATCCTGTATCTAGGAAACGAAGCATTTTCGGACCCATGTTCAAAATTTTTATGAACATTTTTCATATTTTGTTGAGAGGAATCTCCCCCAGGCTTTTGTCACCACAGCTCTGAAACACCCTGTATACATAGACTATGTGTTATTCAATGTTATATTTTCTTGTATCTGTATATACAGTGTCATTCATGAAGTTGGCATCATATTAACAATGAACTAGACTGTTGGAATCACGTGACTTTCGCTACATGTCAAAAGTATTTTTTTTTAAATGAATAATCGCTGAAAATAGGATTATTTGTTTGAATTTCAAAAAAGTTCACTGAGAATAGTTGTTTCTATTCCAATTTCACATAAGTATCTCGAATTTGAACGTCCTCTTATAACTTTTAGTTGAATATAATAAGAGAAAATTTTAAAATTTTTGACATGTAGCTGAAGTCATGTGAATCCTACCGAGTAGGCCAGTTCTGATCATTTTTTATTTTGAAGCAAAACTTTGAAGCAAAGCTTAACGCCCAAATCTAATTTCAAAATAAATTATTATTAAAAGTTTTTTCCATATGATTCAATGACTAGTTTAAGAATGACACTGTAGACTATGTGTGATTCAATGATTTTATGCACGATCAGGCGTAAATGACACTTTATCGCCTGTATTTACGGGCCTAAAGTAGCACTTCAGCGCCCTAGGGCGATAAAGGGAGGTAAACGGGCGATAAAGTAGTCTGGCGTGCGGTAAAGTAGGCGATCGGTGGTCGGTGACGAGTACTTGGTGCGGTGTATCTGGATAGAAAAAAGCATTATGAAGTTATTCGAACAATGTTCGAAGAAAGATTTGAATTGGTGAAGGAACATTTTTAAATTTTGGTGAAGGAACTCGGAAGGAACCTATCATTCACCATTTTATTCAAGAAAAAAAACCCTCATCCTGAAGATTCTGTTCAAGATATTAATGAAAACCCGTGAGAACCTTTTTTTTTTCAATTCTCGGGAACGAAGCATTTTTGTATAATAATACTCTGAAGTATAGAACATATAGGCTCCCCGAAATTCGATATAAAATATGCTGATTCACTGTATTTCGTAACACTGGCAAGATTTTGAAGGAAATTGCCCATCCTGTAGGAATGAATGTGAATTAGTGCGGTGGGAAAAGTTATTAACGTAAACCGCTGGACCGGATAAGACTTCTGATAGGAATATCCGCTTTTAAGCCAATGCAGTTATTTAGCAAAATAAGCGGCTACTCCAATGTCCTTCAATCTGAATTATTATTAAGAATACCATCAGTACAACATATGACCAAAATATTAATTCTGTTCAAAATACATACATGAATAAACTCGATATAAACCAAAATTTATTGTCAAAGCAAAAATATACACGAAAAAACAATAATATTTATATGAGTCTGGAGAATACGTATTTAATAATAATAATAATAATAATAATCGACTTCATTTAGTATTTCAATATTACATAATTAGGCGAAGTTTAGCTATAGTTACTCTTACACTCAACTCAATATGCATTATGAGAATGAGAGTACCTGGACAAAAAATAAAGATTGTTTGATGGGACAAATTACTAGTAGTACAACAAACTACATAGTTTGAAATAAAAATGTAATTCATCTTATCACATATTGAATATAGCCTTTAGTTTCTGTTTGAATGTGGATTTCGAGAATTGCATAAGATCTTTAATAATCGTGTTGTGAAAAAATACAGCTAACTAGGAAAATGATTTTCTGAACATGGCTGACGAATGACGAGGGATGAGGTTTTGGTCGGGTTTTGGTTAGTTCGAAGATTGAAAAAATAGAGCTCTAACCTCTCTGTCAATTTATTGAATAGAGGAACAGTTTTTTTCGATTTCAATACTGAATAAGTGATGTTGCATTAGTTATATTTCCTGAGTACGGACATTGATACCCAACCAATAAGGTTGGTACGAGAGCTTGAGAAATGTGTTCAAATTAACGTATCCCTAAGATAAAGCGAACACAAGAATTTTGCATTTGATGGTTGAAAGGATAAGCGATTGGGAAAGAAGCTTTTTTCTACGACTGCTATGAAAAGTAGCGTAATTCTCATGGCTTACTCAATTTCAAAACCACGAATTGCTCATACCTGTGAGAAATATTATTTCTCACAGCACTTTGCCAACACCACGCATAGTAGGTACCTTTTATATGGAGAATCAACTAAAATCGACAAAAACTTAGTTGGCCGCTGTTGTCACGAACAACTGTCAACAGAATTTATTTCAATTTTTGAGGTAGTTATCAATCGTGTTTCGATAAAAAATCGCAATTTCATTGAATATTAGTAAGACATAATATACATATTTGTACCAGTGATAGGTAAATAATATGGAAACTTATGAAAGCAGTGACGATTTTGACAATACTCCACCAGAAATATTGGAACAAGCGGCAAAAGTAACATTAGATTTGTTGCCGGAAATTTCCCGAAAGAAGTATGAATTGGCATATGGGAAATTCATGGAATGGAGAAGAAATACGAAAATAAAATCGTTTTCGGAAAGTGTACTTTTGGTATACTTCGAAGAAATGTCGAAAACTTTGAAGGCGTCAACACTTTGGTCACAATATTCGATGTTGAAAAGTACCATCAGTATTAAACATAACATTGATATATCCACGTATCAAAAATTACGTGCATTTTTGAAAAGAAAGTCTGACAATTACTTCCCAAAGAAATCAAACATATTAACAGCCGACCAATTGCAGAGATTTTTAAAAGAAGCTCCAAACAAGGAATATCTACTAATAAAGGTGGGTTTATTATTTAAATTGAACTATTTTTCGAATTTCTTCCGCTTTTTTCCTCGAATTAACAGCTTTTTATAGTTAGTGGGTGTATTCAGTAGGTAAAAATAATTAGATAATCTTCAAAAAGTCAATTTCATATTGTGGAAGATGAGTATATGCCTATGAATAAATATTTTAATAACTACTCCGTGGTGTAGTGGTAGTGCTTCCGCTTAGGATACTAGCGGCCCGGGGTTCAATACCCGGCCAGGGATGATATATTTTTTTAATTATATAAATGATTTTACATCCTGATATTTTTATTTGTAGGTTGCAGTGGCTATTGGCGTAGCAGGGGCATGTCGTAGAGATGAACTGTGGAAATTAAAAGTCGATGATTTAGAGGATCTAAATTCGGCTTTGTTGGTGAAATTAGATAACACCAAAACAAAGAAGCCAAGAACTTTCACTGTAACGGGGGAATTTTATAATATATATAAAAAATATGCCGCTCTTCGACCGAATGATTTGGCAGAAAAACGTTTCTTCTTGAATTACCAGAACGGAAAATGTACTAGACAAGTAGTCGGCATCAACAAATTTGGTAGTATGGCAAAGAGAATTGCAATTTTTTTAAAATTGGAAAATCCCCATTTATATACAGGACACTGCTTCAGACGTTCTTCGGCAACAATT